GTCAAGTTTGAGAAGACTAAATAAGTGCACTTTTTAATTTTTTTTTGTATTATGTGTAGAAAAAATAGAGATAAGATGTTAATTGATGTGACTCAAAAAAAATAAAAAGATGAAATAAGTACACTTTTATTGGTTAGCCAAACTTGACCTAATTCCTGCCTCCCTAGAACAGCCGCAAATATTACCATAGGAATGCGATCCTGAAAATCATAACAAAGGACAATCATTAAAAATAAAAATAAAACAACACCACCAACAGTTGCTATTCATATTATCTGTCAAATCAAAACACAGCTCCAATTACAATTACCAACCTTTGAGGATCTAAATCCATGGCATACGATTACAAGTTCTTTAGAACCTGTTTCATGCAATATTCCCACAACCTTGTCCCCATGGTTGGTCTATATTATAACTCGTTGTTGAATCACTGTCGAGATGTAGCCCAAACTCTTTTTCACTTGACATTTCACATTAGTTCATACTCATTATAATATCGTATATGAGATATCACACATATTTAAAAAATTAATTATTATAAAAGAGGATGTGCACAGAGAATGTGAAAATATATTTGGAAGGTGAAGTGTATAGACTGAGATAAAAAAGTAAAAATCAAGTTAATAAATGTGTAGATTGAGAAAATATGTACACAGCAATAATTTGGTGTGTGGAAATAGAATTTTCCCATAGTAATGAATTGTTTTTTGTTTTTGTTTTTTTTGGCGAATTACACTAACGGTCTCTATAGTTTGGGACTTGTATCACTTTGGTCCCTGACTTTTCAATTGTGACACATTTGATCCTGAATTTTAAATCTTGTTCCAAATAAAGATAATTGAAGATATCATTGCTTAATTTCAAGGGCCAAATCTTTAATTTGGTAAAATATAAACTAATTTGACAAAAATAAATATTAAAAAAATATTTGAATTTTAAAAAATTATTTCTACCCACTAAAGATAAAATTTTAAAAAAATTGATAAATCTTTTAGACATTTATTTATTTACTTATCTTAACAAATTAATTTTTATTATGTGTTTAGATGATGATCATGTAATCAGTGGTTGTTTTTATTTTCATTAAATTAGTTTATATTTTTTTAAAAGTCCAATATGACGATAATTTTGATATTATTATTAAATCAATCCATTAAATAAAAAATCCAAAACTAAAAATATTTTATATATTAAATATTCGATTGCACATTAAAATCACAACATCCACTCATTACATGATTATCATCTAAACACATAATAAAAATTAATTTGGTAAAAAAAATAAATAAATGTCTTAAAGATTTATTAATTTTAATGTTTACTAGGTTGAAATAATTTTTAAAAAAAATATTTTTTTGACATTCATTTTTATCAAATTAGTTTATATTTTTATCAAATTGACCATTTTGCTCTTGAAATTAAGTAATGGTATTTTTTATTATTTTTATTTGAAATAAGATTCAAAATTTATAATCAAATATATTACAATTGAAAAGTGAAGAATTAAAGTAACACGAGTTCTAAACTATAAATACGATTAGTGTAATTCGTCTTTTTATTTATTTATTTATTTATTTTATTATTTTTAGTGGGGCTTGTGTTTTGGATATACATTGACTTCCCCTCGAAGAATTTTTTTTGGCCATGTCCACCAAATGTTAATAATATATCTATATAATAAAGTAGGATAGTTTTTAAATTTATCCTACACACATTTGTCCTATTAGGATATTTGGACGATTTGGATCTATTCAAATTATAAAATAATGGCTGAGATATGTTTCTAAAAAATATCTTACATGTACATTTTTTATTGTTCCGCTTCTCTCTCTTACTTTTTCCTTTTCTTACCCATCCTTCTATGATCTCATTATCCCACATTCCTCTCTCTTTTCTTTTTCTTTTTTTATTTTCTCCAATTTTTATTTTTCTCTCTATTTGTTTATTTTTTTTATTTTCTCCTTTTTGCTCACTTATTTTACTGTGTGTAGTAGAGATTAAATTAATGAATTTTATGGTCCACAAATTAAATGAATTTAAATAATTAATTATTATTTTTAAATATATTAAATCTTGATAGATTTCATAAATTTAAACCTCATATGAATCTTCAACATCTATATAATAAAGCATGATGGTTTTTAAATTTGTCTTATACACATTTGTCCTACTAAGATATTTGGACAGCTCAGATCTATTCAAATTATAAGACAACCGCTGAGATATATTTTTCAAAAAATATCCTACATATACATTTTCTATTTTCTCACTTCTCTCTCTTATTTTTTTTATTTTCTCACACATCCTTCTATGATCTCATGATCCCACCTTCCTCTCTTTTTTTATTTTTTTTATTTTCTCCCATTTTTATTTTTCTCTCTATTTGTTTATTTTTTTTATTTTCTCATTTTTGTTCACTTATTTTACTGTGTGTAGTGGAGATTAAATTAATAAATTTTATAGTCCACAAATTAAATAAATTTGAACAATTAATTATTATTTTTAAATATATTGAATACCTGATAAACTTTATAAATTTAGACCTCATATGAATATGCAACATCTATATAATAAAGTAGGACGTTTTTTGGATCTTCAACATGTTTTTGTTCTATTAGGACATTTGGACGGCTCAGATTTATTCAAATTATAAAATAATGACTAAGATATATTTTCTAAAAAATGTCCTACATATACATTTTCTACTTTCACGCTTCTCTCTCTTTTACTTTTTCCTTTTCTCACCCATCATTCCATGATCTCATGATCCCACCTTCCTCTCTCTTTTCTTTTTATTTTTTTTTATTTTCCCATTTTTATTTTTCTCTCTCAAAACCTCAACTTCTGAGATAGCATCAAAATCAACTCTATCTAGACCCGACCTCCACACCTCCCTTCATCCCTAAAGAGATGTTGATAAAAACCCACAATATTATCCCAGATCTCCTCTTCCAGCAAGAGCATCACCCCATTCACCCGCAATCTCCCTACCTAATTCTCCCGTCGATGAGCATTTGCCATCCAATGGAAGAATTTTGTATTACGATTCCCATTCTTCAACCACGAGCACCTAGACTTTTGACGAAAGCTAATCTCCTCTATCCGAGCAATTTGCTCATATTCCTTCTGAGCACCATCTCGACTAACCACATCTTTTTCTAATAAACCCTCTACAACTTTCTTCTCATCCAACTCTTACAAAACTGACAAAATAGTCGCCTTCTATACCTCCAACCAACCAAACACCTCCTGATTCCACCGCTTCAAATCATATTTAAGAAGTTTTAACTTTTGAGTTAACCGACAGCTAAGCATCTCTGCCATACTAACCCCTCCACCATTCCCCCACCTTCTCCACAAAACCCTTTGCTTGTAGCCACATATTCTCAAAACCAAATAGCGCCAGACCATACCACCCCCCCACTATCCAAAAGAATAGGCCAGTGATTAGAAGTCGTGCGCTGCAATTGAGCTAAATTATCTGGGAAAAATGCTCCTCTCAATCCCCAGAAATCAAGAATCTATTAATCTGGGACATGGCCCAACCACCAGAACAAGTATAACCTCCTCCCTATGGAGGCATGTTAATCAACTCTAGCTCATCAATAAAAGAAGAAAAAGCCCTCAAAGGCCCCGTCACCTAACTCGCCACACTCTTCTTTACAGAGCTCCTCATTATATTAAAATCTTCACTGACACACCAAGGCATCTCCCACCGAAAAGCAATAGCTTATAACTCCTTCCAAAAGGCCTTCTGCTCTACTCTCTTTACCGGCCCATACACCTCCACGAACACCTATTGAAAATCAACCTCAACACATTTGAACAAGCAAGACAGAGAACACCTCCCCACCATCTCTTCCCCCTCATTCTTTACCACCTGATTATCCCAACAAATGAGAACACAACCAGTCACCCCTATAGTTGGTTAGAAGGCCCACCCTACATGCCTACCTCCCTAAATCTCCCAAACTACCTCCACTTCCACACACTCCATTTTGGTTTCTTGGAGGCACACCACATCCACCTTAGCACTTTTCAATAACGATCTAACCACTACCCTCTTCCCTTATTATTTAAACCCCGTACATTCCAAGTCAATATTTTCAAACGCATGTCAATAACAATGAATCTCCATGCTCCTTCCTTATCCTCTTATTACCCCTCATTCGTATTGTGGGCATAATTTATAGAGCACTCTAGTCTACATAATTCCTGGCCTCTTTTATCCTTCTGGCCTATACTGTGCAATTCCTGACCACCCGACATGCTTTCTCTCCATGACACCTCAATTATAGAAAATAATTTTAAAGCCTCTTCATCATGCCCTCAAAAGAAACTCCCAAGAATTTACTAACCTTATGAGACAACACTTAGTCCGAAACCTCCTCTGACGTCAGTGGATGACCCTCTTGGAAATTCGACTCCAAGTCCACCTTTGTGTCTGAGCCCATATTTGACAGATCTGCAACCCTATCTTCTATAACCACCAACTGGACCATCAGAGCCAAGTCATCACCCACATCTGCCCAACGAGCCTTTATCTTTCCCCCCACTCCTCACGGTCCTCCTAACGTTCCTTTTGTTCTCCACTGAGCTTCTCCCTAGTCGGTGTGCTCACCGAATGTTGCAAATCCAAACTACAACCCGATATATACTGACCGAACTGTAGAGGCACCGTCAAAGCCCTCAAAACATCTAGCGGCTCTCGCAACACCTTCCCGCCCGACATCAAAGCCTCGCCACCAACACTCCGATGTTTCAACCCAACACTGTCGTGCAAAGACTCGAAAACCCCGTTGAATAGTTGGGTTCAATTGTTGGTCCCTTTCCATCGGTGGGCTAGGCTTCCCATTGTCCAAAACCTGTTGAACTTTTGAATTCCCAATTAGGCCCACTTTTTTATTAAGGTTTTGTTGGTCCACATGCATAGGAGCCCAATTTCTTTTACCTAACTCCCGTTGAGTCAGAGGACCCAAACGGCCCACTCCCTTTGCAAATCGACCTACCCCTTCCCATCCGGGTTGAATCTGCCCTGAAACCCACCTTATATATCTCCCTCTCTTTCTTGACGCATCCAATCTCACAATCATCTCCCTCTTCACCTCCTTCGCCTCGTCAATTTTTGTCACCCATCCCAACCAGTGCCCCGAACTCCGACTTGGGAAGAAAAACCTGCCCTCCAATGCGACCATTATCTAAAATAAAGAGTCGCCAGCACGAGTCCAGACTACCACGCTACGCCAAGCCATCGCATTTCATATCCCACCAACCTCACTTCCATACGCAGGCCAAGCCCAAGCTCCTCCCTCACCGAAAACATTCCGAGTCATTTTCTATCTTTTCTCAAAAAGGAAACAATTAGACATAAAATTCCCTTTATATTTTTCTTCTTAAACCTACCATTTTAGAGTTTTATTTTTATATGATTGGGAATTCATAAGCAAAAACTTGTATATGTTTTTTTTTTCCTTTTTTTTTTTAATATTGAATTTTATGGAAAGAGATTTATTCCTGATAGATTTATTCCTAATACTCAAACCCAAATGAATATTTTATCTATGCAGTTAGCATTTTTCTTTTGAAAATCTGTTAAGTTTGAATATTTAGCTAAAATAGAGAGATTTGTTAAAGAATGGTAAGCTAAAATAACGTGTTTTTTGTTTTTTTATTTAGCTATTTTAGCTGGTAGTGTTGGAGTTGCTGTACCCAAAAAATGGGACGAGAAAAACGAGCTGAGGAAGCCCTAATCCTCCTTCGAAGCCGCCTCTGCAACCCTAATTTCATCTTCACTTCTCTCTCTGACTCTCCCGACAGCAACTACAGGTCCAAACCCCTCTCTGCATGCTTAAACCCTTTCGCTTGGTTGCTGAGAAATTAAAAAAAAAAAAATGTTCATTTTCTCAGTAACCAAACAGGGTTTACTATTTCATTTTATTTTTTTTCTATTTCCCGTCTCCCCGGTCTTTACTTTGATTGATTTCGTAATGTGCTTAATCTGTAAATTGATGAGAAGTGAAATAAATAAATTCAAGTTTTATTTTTTATTTTTTATTTTAATTTCAGTAAGTTGAAGTTTATAGTATCAAGTTCGGTTACTGAGGCATGTAACAACTCAGTTCTGCTTCTTGGTCCCCGTGGCTGTGGAAAAATTGCGGTAAAACACAATGCCTTTGATTAGTTTGTTTTGGCCGGTTTAAGTTGTAACTCTGTTAATTTATTTATTTATTTATTTTTTAATACTTTTAGGTGTTGGAGCTTGTTATTGAAGATCTATTGAAAGAGTATCCTGACATGATATTAGTGGTATGCTTCATGTGACAATATATATTCCTCTGATTGCTCATTTTTTTAGTATTTCAACTGAAAAAGTTCACATTATTCTCAGTAGGTAGTTTTGAAGAATTATGTTTGGTTGTTCATCTTTTTACATTTAATGTTTTCTGGGGAGAATAAATTATGAACATCATAGATTGAATGGATGGCTATAGAAGTCCAATCATACTTCTTTTTTACTATCTTATGATGGTTTCAGATAAAGCTGAATGGACTTTTACACAGTGATGACAATTGCGCACTTAAGGTACAACTTCATATCCTGCTATAATTGTTGCCGTGATTTTGCGTTCCTTTCCTAATCGTTCGCCTGGTTTGTTGCATTTCAAGTGGTTATGATTCCATTGCTTCATATGTTGAGGTACTTAAATTCATTTGTTATGTTTGTATGATGAATACGAGGGATTTACATATTGATGGGTTTTTTTGGCTATAACTTCTGGTTTTCTTATTATTTATTTTTCAACTGGGTTCTAGTTACATTTATATGAGCATCCAGTAACACTAAGGAGATATTATGCATAATGCATTTGGAGCCATGTAAAAGGAACAGACAGTAGTGAACTTGAGTAGATAGTTGTGGCTTGACAACCTAATTAACCACTTACTGTAGCTAGGAAAATAATGCATTTGTACTATATATATGTATATATATATAGGTATGACATGGTGCTTAGATCTAGGAAAGATTTGTTACTCATTGTGCAAAACAATAGGAAAACTTTCTACTTTTAACTCAACTAGACAAGTTTGGCCCACAAAATGATGGGGGATGTTAATCAATTTTCACCCAAATGCCCTAATTGCAGATTAAGTTCTAAGAGTGAAATTGGGGACTGCCTCTCAATTGATACTTGAATGCTTAATTTCTTTTCAAGTACATACCCTTTTTTTATCACAAGGATTTGAATTTAATGCAACAGGTGCAAATTCATTCCCATGCAAAGAATATGAAAAATGTAGAATGCTACTTAATTGTCACTTCGTCATCATCGGGAAGGTGATTAAAGAAATCTTATGCACATGGCTTCCTTTTCATTGATTTGTTTTTTTAACTCTTCATTTTAAGTTAGATGTTATAAGAGCAAGGTTCTCCAAACCAACTTAAAATTTCTTCTGATAGTTCTTGTCATGATTCTTCCTTTTTTGTTTTTCTTTCTCCCTTTCTGCAATGAAAGCTTTAATTGTAAAGTTGATATCTAGAACATTTTTTTAAAGTAGCACCACAAGTTTTATTCATTTCTGAAAATTAAAACAATTTGTAACCTGTCAGAACTAGATTGATTAATAATATAGGAGCACTATGAACCTACTGATTATAACCTCTCTCTCTCTCTCTCTCACACACACACACACACACACACACACAAATGTAACTGTATCTAGTAACCGCTAGTATAAAGAGAGCTTTTTATAGCATGCTGTATGGTATGGCTATCCATCAAAGAATTTGGTAAAACTAAACTACTTATAATAGGCCTCTAGCTTTGTCACATTTGACATGTTTTAACAGATAGTAGCAATAATTCACCATTCAAATCAATCAAAATGGCACAGACCTTTTACTTCATTAAATCATACCCTACGGTTGCACTTTGCAATTATTGGATCTATTGCATCAATTAATTACTAGAAAGGAACAATGAATTCAAATGGCAGCACTCTGTGAAATGATTTTGTGAATCACATAAGACTTGGTTGTAACCTTAAACTCTTGAGGGAAAGGAAGACAATGGACTATGTGAAGCTAATGCATAAGAGTTACAACATGAATGACATCTTGCCAGATAGCAATGTACAGTACCCCTTGGAAGTTTGTGTTTTAGTTTTTGGGCACAAGCCAATGCTGCTTACTTTAGTATGCACATTTGTGATATTGCTTATCTGCTTCTGCAATATTTCTCAGACTCTTCTCTATGAAATTCAAATAAAAGTGTTGTAGGATTGCTTTTTTATTCTGGAAAAGTTTCTATTTGTTCTTATTTTCTTTTCTCTCATTCATTCTTATCTATTATTCAGGAAATGGCTAGACAATTATGTGTGGAACATCAATTGTTGTTCTCAAAAAGGGTAACATGCCTAATCCATTTAAGATCACATGATGCATTTGGAACATAATTGATCCAGTATTTTTTTTTATTATCTTGACTTGATTTTTGCAGGCATCATTTGATGATAACACCCAGTTCATGATAGCAATGTTAAGGTGAGTGTAGAAAATGTTGTTAATGTAATCTTCTGACCTTGACTAATTCAATTCGGGTTGTTTTATGATTTTAATCAGCCTCTTATTAGTTCTATCCTTATATGGGTTTAACTCCATTTTTTTTTTGAACCTATTTGTCCAAATTATTTTAATTAATAAATTTGTCCACTTTTTTTAATTAATAAATTTTAACCTATCTGTCCACTTATTTTAATTAATAAATTTTTACTTATATGTTTAAATTATTTTAACTTATTTGTTTTCAAAATTGAAAAATACGTACATCAATTTGGACAGATAGAGATACTTGAAACTTAAAAAAAAAAACATTTGTGGGATTACATTGTTAACATGTCATAACTTTACACTTGGTAATCTATTTTGGACAAATTTTGTTTTGTTTTGTTTTGTTGTTTTTGTTTTTAGATTTATGCATATGAAACTGCGGAAAGTGATTTTTGAGTATGTTTTGTTGTTTTACGTTGTTTATATAGTGTGGAATAAGTCTTATATTAAATTATTAGAATGTTATATAGTAATATTAATTTTAGAGAAATTGTTTATTTTTTACTATTATATCAAAGATAATAATTGTTCCTATTTTTTACTATTGTATCAAAGAAATTGTTTAGAGAAATTGTTTATTTTTTACTATGCATATGAAATTGTTTACTAATTTACCTAAACATTAATCTTTGGCATATGAATTTTCAATAGATTTCATTGTGTATTCACCTTAAACTGGGGATATGACTCATGAGAGCTGGGGCATTATTCATTCTTCATAGCAGTCGGTTTTTGCTTATCAATAAAAAAACTACTTTTTTATTTTATTTTTTATTTTAACATTTCATTGTTCCTTTTTTTTTTTTTTAAAAGCATGAAAAACAAAGAAAACAAAAGCATAACCAAACAGGGCTATGTAGGAAAATTATCCAGTTTTATGTCACATTTCTGGGTATTTTTCCAAAAATGAAAAACAGATGACAGAAAATGAAAACACAACTAAACAAGTACTTATAATCATAAATATTAAAATGATGGCCATTTTTAGAATTTTTCATTGTCTTCGTTTTTCAAAAAAACTACAAACAGAAACACAACTAAACGGCTAGGAAAATTATTTGTTCTATGTCACATATCGGGGTCATATACTATCCCAGAAAAATATATAGCAAAGAAGAAAAGCTATACATTTTTCCTAGATCTCATGTCGATTTTATCTCACACTGCAGGGAATAAGTTATTCAAAGCTTTCGAATTTACCACCTATAGTCGGCCTCTGTGAGTATTCAACACCCTTATTCTGTTTTTCTTGCTAATTAAGTTCAACAAACTATTAAATTCACAAGATTTGATAGTCTTTAATGTATTAATTTTACTTGAATTGGGTTTTTATGCAGACTCAAGCTTAATCCTGCGGTTGGTCCAGTCTCAATAGCAACATCTTTCCGCCGAATGAATACATAATTGAGGGCAATTCAAGCTATTAGTTTTACCCACGGTAATTTGCCCTAACCTATAAAAGATTTGTAACAAGTTTACAAATACAAACTTACTACATAAAAGATAGAGTTTCAGGTAGATTACTCTACTTATATTTTCCGACTTTAGTTCTATGTCTTATGATAAGGTTTGGACTCAGGTGATGTTTAATAAAGTTGAAAATTAAAAATTAAGTATTGAAAATTGAATGTTAAATTTATTGAGTTAAAAAGTTGTTTGATCAAAATTTAAGTACTAAACTAAAAATAAATTGTTTGATATGTATAAGATAAAATTTGAAATTTATTATTTTCAATCGTTTTTTTTTAATCGTCGTGTATGGTTTTCTTTGTTCAATTTCATGCTTTTTTTTTGGGAGGGGGGAATCTTTGAAGTGTTGGTGCTGTGAAATGTGTTAATTGTTTTGTTAATGTAATGTAAATAGAAAGGAGGCTATAATGTGGGTTTTGCTTCATGTGTTCTATTCCTTTAATCTTTGTCAATGGATCACAATGTTTTATTGATTTTGCAATGCTTTAATGATAGAAGAGTTTTCTTTTGATTTCTTTTGATTTGTGTGCATTATTTGATATTTAATTTTTTTATATTTGATTTGTTTGGAATTATAGAGTATAATCTGTTAAATATATTTTTATAACTGTAATTTAATCTTAATATTTTTACACCGTATCTTTAGGTACGGACATACGCTAGTATATATATAGAGCTTATTTCGTTGAAAGGTCAAACAAATATATATAAAGGTCAAATAAATATATATATTGAGCTTGTTACGTTGAAAGGTCAAATAAATTGACCTACAAATATTGCAAGCGAAAGAATCCCAAGGATTATTAATAATTATTGATTTATTTATTTTTTAGTTGGAGATCAAAATGAGAATTTTTTATTTAGTAAAGGTGTAATCTACGTTAAGTGATAAAAATATAAATTAGTGTGTTTGATTTCAGTTTTTTGAAAATTAAATTTTTTATTTTTGTGTATTTTCTTGTTTTTGGTGAATATTTTTTAAATTTTAAGTAATTTTTTTTACTTTTTTAGATACATTTTATTTAGATGTATCTAAATAATAAAATATTTGTGAAAAAATATTTTAAAAAATTAATAAATACAAAAAATACGGAAATATACTAAATTTTCATATTTTTTTATTTTTTGGTATTTAGTATATTTTTTTTAAAAAAAATCATAAATATTATACCTTTTAAGTGTGTTTATGTTAGGTGTGTCTAAAATTTTAAAAAAAAAAAATTGCTTAAAATATTAAAAAAATTTATTGAAAACATTAAAATACGAAAAATAAAAAAATAAAATTTTCTAAAAAATGGAACCAAATCTAGAATTTGGAACAAAATATAAAGAGTTTGAGAGCATGGAGATCATTTTTTTTTTTTTTTTTTTAAAACAGAATAAATTAAACAGGTTATAATTATTGTCTATTGTGTAGTTCAATGGGTTTATTTTGAGTTAATTTTAATAACAACAATGATAGAGATCACTAATTTTGGAGCTCTAAAAAGATCATTAATGATATGGCACTCAATAAAAAATAAAAAAAAATACAATATCAAGGCCAAAACATTAAAGAAAAATGCTTGGGAGCACTAATTAGTGCTCCCACTAATTAGGTGGCAGTGGGTCCCCCCATTAATGATGTGATGTTTTGGTCTTGGAGTTGTATTTTTTTTTTTTTACTTTTTTAATGCATTAGTGCTATTAGTGGCGATGTTTTTAGTGAGATGAATCATTGTTGAACATCAAATCATTCCTGGTGGGACCCACTGCCACATCATTAGTGATAGCACTAATTAGTGCTCTCACTCATTTTCCTTTTAATAATTCAAACTATTCATATTTTAAAGTACATTAAATATAATATTCTTTTAAAAAATTAAATTAATCGGATATCGTTAACCTTCTCATCCACTCATATTTATATTTATTTTAATACTTTAAATCACAATTGTCATTTATTTTTATATATACAAATATGAGTGTATGAAAAGATTAACGATATCTGATTAACTTAATTTTTTACAAATATATTTTATTTAATATATCCTAAAATGTCAATTATTCAGATCATCAAAATAAATCTGAAATTGAATCTATTTGGTTGCACAACAACCCCTCCAAACCCAAAGATCAAAGTGATAAGGCCTTCGTTGGGGAGTTAATTATTATTTTAATCTGATTAAAATAATTGTGTTTAAAAATATAATTAAATTTTTTTTTGTAATTGATTTGATAATTATGAGATAAAAAATAAATTATTATAAGTTAGATGTGATATTTTATTTTATTAATTATTTTAATTTATTTTATTTTTGTTAACTATTTTAATAATAATAATAATAATAATAAAAGGCGACTTACCAGACCGAGAATCTTCTTTTTAGGGACTAAAATAAGAAAAATGGTAAAGATACTTGAGGGAAAGTGTAATAAAGTAATTAAAATATTAACGAGAGGGCGTGGGGGACCCACAAATCTGAATGAAAAAGAAATGACGATAGATAGTCTCTATTCCCACAGTAAAGGAGATCCAATGCGATTAGATCCGATCCCCTGATATCTGTAATCTGATCTGATCTCTCGTCTTCCACAGCACCACCACCACCAGTTGCCATCGGCATTCATATCTAAGTTTGATCCGTATTCTCTGGAAAAGCCATTACAACTCCAATTATAGTATTTAAAAAATAAAAAAGTAAAAAGTAAAAAAGAAAAGAAAAAAAAAAACATTACACATCCAAATGCAAATCATTTGCTTCAACTTCATTAATAATAATTGGGTGTTTCGAAAAGATGATTAAAAATTGCATTTTAATTTTTGTTTGACTTTTTTTTATGAGAGAGAGAAATAATTTAAAAATTAAGAAGTGACTTTTAATTCACTTTTCAAAATAGCCTAATATTAGAGCGTCTTTAGTGGTGTATTAATTTTTTTTATTACATTTAAATAAAAATTTCTTTTCATAACAAGTATTCTAATAGAGAATTTTAGAGTTTCATCATAATACTGATTGACGGGACGGACGATTAGGTGGATGTTCGGTCGATCGACTGGTTAGTGTAAGTTTTTTTTTTTTTTTTGCTTTGAGGTAGTCGTAGTCAATTGGGCAACCGACCGGCTAGTATAATTTTTTTTACAAATTTTTACCTTGAGATATAGTCATTTAAGAGGACATCTGGGGGACATCTGGGAGATATCTGTTAGTGAAAATCAAACGGTTATGAACAGTGATTTGATGAATGAAAAGTGAAATCGTGGATTTAATACCTATTTGATGAAACCGTTGAAGCATAAAAAATTATCATTTTTACCAAATTCAAATTTGATGACAAAGCTAAGCAACCATTGGAAATGGTCTTAGGAAAAGTCTGAAATCAAATATATCCTTCCAAATTTTTTTTAGACAAGTGTTTATGTGATAGAGATTAAATTTGTATAGTATGAGTTTAATGTGTAGAATAAATCTGAATTACAAAATAATAATTTTGAAAAAAAATTTAGATAATTAAATATGAATTTATAATATTACTGATAATATTAAAGGGATCCTTATCACTTTACTCCATTCAATTATAAATTGAAAGACTATCTCCTATCATACTTTTTCATTTTTCGCTAGCTAATTATAAAAAAGTATGTTCTTTATTTTAATTTTTTATTTATTTATGTACTCCAATGTTATTCTTCATTTTACCTATCTATACAAATAAATTATTTTAAAAGCTTCCTAAGAGCGTCAACATCAGGATTGTTAAAATCGTTTCTTAGCTAAATTAACGATATAAATTTCAATAAACCACCTCCATTGGTCTTGCTTGCAGCTCGTTAAAATTTAAGTTTGCTACAGTATCTCGCTGCAACAAGGGAGGTACTATTCATCGCTACTTGTGTATTGCCGGATGTTCGTCTGGAAGTCTGGCCAGTCAACCGATCAACGACATTTTTTTTTTAATACATTTCTTCCAGTTTTACCTTTACAAAGGAATATAAGAATTGTTTGGCTATCAGCTCATCAATTTAATTATTAAAAAAAAAAACAAATATTTTAATATGATTGAGTTAGAATAAAGAGTTTGATGCAGTGGGGTAATTAGCTAAAATAAAAAAATGAATTTTTTAGTTATAATTTGACTAAAAATTTAAAGAGATTGGTGTGGATGCTATGCTCTAGCATCCTCATCAAATTAGTTAAATTTTTATTATATTTTAATTTAAAAATTATATTTTTATCTTGACCAAAAACATTTTAAATACACTCTTTAACAAACTTTCTATCATTTTTCCATGCTATTTAATTTTTTTAAAATTTTAATTTAAAATTAATTTTATAAACTCTATCTAAATAATTCCAAAATATCAAAAATTATATTTTTTAATGTCCAACCACTAGCTATATTATTGAGTTAAATCCACCAAAACTAAAATAGTTAATTTGTTAGAGTTGAAATTTAATAATTTACTCTTATAGTTAAAAGGTTATATTCGCCACTAAAGTTATTGAAAAAAATTAATAGATGAGCGGAATTAAATGTTATAATTTTTAGTTTAAGGGGGTAAAGTGATGTTAAAAAATAGTTTAAGGAGCTAAAATATAATTTGTTCTAATAATAATAACTATAACTAGTATTTGTGTAAATATGTTTATAAAACAATAAGAAAGTTTGAAAAATTAAAATCAATTAAAAAGTATTTTGAAATTAATAAAAGTTGTCAAATATTTTTCACTTTATTTTATCTTTATCTTGTGTAACACTAATTAACAAGACTTTAAAAACATAAAGATCAAAAAAAAAAAAATTACACAAAAATTCATGCAGAATGAAGTGATAAATATATTTTCATTCATTTTAAAACAAAAATTTTATTAAAGTGGCTTAGCCTCCGTTTGGGAAGTGGGTTGGCTTTTTGGCTTTTTGACTATTTTAGTCTGGGCTATTTTAGCCTGGTTTGGAAAAGGCTTTTTGACTTTTTTTGTAAGATAAGATTGTAATGATTATGGTTTGAATTTGATGTTTTGTTTTTTATGACTAAAATAGCCCATTTAATTTTTTTTTGGCTATTTTAGCCCCTAACCTACCCAAACCTTCTTGCCAAACACATTGTAAAACATTTTACAATTTGGGTAACATATTTTTTAATTTGGTATGAGTTTAAACA